CACTTTATTGTTATTTAGCTCACTGTTCTTACATTTAGCTAATTTTACTAAATGTTAAAAATATATATTTAAATAATAAATCCTAAATCTAAATGTTTAAATCTAAATGTAAAAGTTAAACCTTAAATGTTTAAGTTAAATGTTGTAATTCACATTTAGGTATTTTGGAATGGAATGCAGCCTTTGCTGGTGGTGGCTCGGCTCATCATCCTGAGACTATAGCAACTACTAGCACTCCACTGCAACTAAAGCTTCACTACAAAACATCAAATTTGCAGTTATGGCTGGTGTCTGAGCTGCACTTCAAATTGCTGGACTACAGGTACCTCCCATTTGTTTTTTATGAATAAATTTTGATCTTATATTTTAAAAAAATAACTTCAGCAGCGTTAGTGGCAGCTAGCGGTGGCTAGCAGTGGTCGCTGTTGTTTGTTGCAGGATGATGATAGCATCTGGGTTAGCTGATGCTAACTTCTGCTAATGTTTCTAACACTGCTAAAGATAAAATTTTAAATGTAAATTCAAAATGTGTGTCCCATTTCATTGGCTTCTCATGTGGCCTACAAATGCAGCCTTCAAACATAGGATGCACCTTACTATCCTACATGGCCGACAATATCCCAGGATTTACAACTCCGTCATCCATTTTTTTTGCAAGAAAAGGAAAATGGCTGAGTATGGAAAGTCATCACAGAGAATTTGTTGTATAGCAACTTAGCTGATGAAATTTACGCTGCAATGTGATGTGAAATAACATAATTACAAGTTCTGTAATTGGAGCTAAACCCAAATTGCTTTTGTATATTTATGTGTAATGTTTGTAAAAATATATTGATCTATGGAAAGTTTTACCTCCAGTAAAAAGACGAGTGAATTCACGTATTCATGCATTTACGGGTGATACAAAACGTAACACTATGGTAACAAGGTTGTGTGTGGTCATGCAAACATATGTCATCCAAAGACTAGACCGGTGCATTTATATTCAGCCTACCCAGACTTCAAAGGGTGTGGCCTCCATGGGCCAAGGTCTATGTGGGCTGCAACCCCTGAATTTACACACATCTTGAATGTCCAACTGATTCATATTAAAATCAACCTGATTCGATATGGCTACCACAGTTAAACAACTTTAGCAAGCACAAAAACAACTAGGTTCTTTCACAAAACACATCAGATGAAGACTCTGATGCCTCCTCGCCACACTGGTGTGACTTCTATGAACCAAGGTGGAGAGGGAGTTTGAAGCCAGCCTGATGTGCCTTTGCGCCACGGAGCGACAGTAGTAGAATAACCGAAACATTATGTGAAAAGGTAAGGCAGTACCACAACTTCTAGTTCCATCCATCCAATTTATATTACCTGTTTCTCCTCTGGGTAACTAGTAGGGATGTCCCGATACCACTTTTTCACTTCCGATACGATACCGATATTACAACTTTG